TTTCCAGCCTCAAACCAGTCAGAGGCAAGCAAAGCGCTGAGCCGAAAGGGTGGGCTTGGCTGAACTGCCTGCCACCCACATCCCAGGACCTCACCCTGGCTTTTCAAAGGCCAGGGCTGGCCTGTGGTCACCCTGGATGGGCTGGGCACACAGTGTGGGCAGCTGGCCCAATTCAGGGTGGCTTCAAAGCAGTGGGGGCGGACCGCCCTGCAGACAACGCCTGTCCCTCACTTGGGTGGGAGCCGGAAGGGGAGCAGAGACCTCACTTAGCCTCCCTGCCCCCTGCCTCCCTGGGTGGGCTGGGTAGGGGGGAGTTCCCACAACCCGTTTTTGAGCTGGGTATGGAGGCCTTCTTCATATCCCTCCCAACATCACTATCCAGCCAGACGCCCCAAGAAGCAGGGCAGGGCAGGGAGAGGAGGGAGACGAAGGGAGCTCCAGTCCATGGCTTCTGCCCCTTATCTGGGCAGGCAGGGTGGCAGTGGGTGCTGGCTGCACTTCTGGCTTTCCTGACCCCAACCTGGGTTGTGATTGTGGCTGTGGGCACACTCAGCATCTGTACACACAGCTCGTACCTACCCCCAGAACATGTGTACAGTAAGGGATTCTTCCAAACCGCATCTGCCTGGCATCTCTGGCTGGGATGGGAGCGAGCCCAGGCCAGGAACTCTCTGCCCACCGCAGTCACCATACAAAAGCCTGAAGGTGATACTTGCTGGGGGGGTCCTTGGGTCCCAGGACTGGCCCTGGGCCTTCATCCCACGGGGTTCCTGTCAAAGGTCTAGACAGCAGCTTCCATGGTATCCCTAGGCAGGTGGACAACAGGCAAGAAGCTGACTGGGTCACCGTAAAATGGAGCGGCACCCAGGGACTGGCTGGACAGTGGTCAGAGCCAGTCAACTAGGCCTAGCACTGCTCCTTTGCCCCTCCCAGAGAACTAGTAGTGTTAGATCAGGAACCCTGGTGGAGAAGCACTGCAGGCAGGTCCGAGCCTCAGGCTGTACCTGGCAGCTGCCTGCTAAGAAGGCTCTAGAACCCTATGTGTCCACCACTGGGGCAGACACATTGGGCCCTTTCTGAGCAGAGGGAAGAACATTGGGCTAGAGTGACCATCCCATGTCACAGCAGCAATAAGAACACTAAAAAAATGCTTTCTTTTTGAAAACACTAAATTTGTTGTTTACTCTCAAAAGTTTTCATCCCAGGGCCCGGCGCGGTGGTGCAGTGGTTAAGGTCCTCGCCTTGCACGCCCGGGATCCCATATGGGCGCCGGTTCTAGTCCCGGCGGCCCCTCTTCCCATCCAGCTCTCTGCTTGTGGCCTGGGAAAGCGGTCGAGGACGGCCCAAAGCCTTGGGACCCTGCACCCGCGTGGGAGACCCGGAAGAGGCTCCTGGCTTCGGATTGGCATAGCATCGACCCGTTGCGCTCACTTGGGGAGTGAATCATCGGATGGAAGATCTTCCTCTCTGTCTCTCCTCTCTGTATATCCGCCTTTCCAATAAAAAAAATAAAATAAATCTTAATTTAAAAAAAGTTTTCATCCCAGGTCTAGCACGATGGCCTAGTGGCTAAAGTCCTTGCTTTGCACGCCTGGGATCCCATATGGGTGCCGATTATAATCCTGGCAGCTCCACTTCCCATCCAGCTCCCTGCTTGTGGCCTGGGAAAGCAGTTGAGGATGGCCCAAAACCTTGAGACCCTGCACCCGTGTGGGCGACCTGGAAGAAGCTCCTGGCTCCTGGATCTGGATTGGCACAGTACTGACCGTTGAGGTTACTTGGGGAGTGAATCATTGGACGGAAGATCTTCCTCTCTCTCTTTCCTCGTCTCTCTATATATCTGACTTTGCAATAAAATAAATAAATCTTAAAAAAATAAAAAGCTTTTGTCCTGCCTGAACACTCCCTGGGCTCACCTGATGCATGATGGAGACCTTGCTGCTGTCCCATGGGGGCCTGGGGCCTAGCAGCAGCCTGTTCCTGTGTGCTGTGTGGGCCAGGGCATTTCAAAGCGCTGGAAGACTTGGAACAGCCTGGGCCTTCCTTACCCGGGGAGGGGGATGGGGTGGGGACTATATAGACTGTGAGTTGTCCCTGCTGTGTTGGGAAGCAGCCCCCTCCTCACCCCATCCTGAGGGCCGGGATGTGCTGGTTGCAGATCCAGATGTTCAGCAGCTGTCCTGCCTGCTTCCGCCCCCTGCTGACCCCACATCCGCCAGGAAGCGTTCCCTCCCTGTCCCTCCCCACTCTCCCCCCACCAATGTCCTTGGGCTCCTGGCCACCCCCACCTGCCTGTGGCCCATTTCCTGAGTGGAGGAGTCTGTGGTCAGTTCCCCCTGCCCAGGAAGGCTTCTGCATTCCTGGGGTCCAGTTCTGGCCCTGAGTCCAGGCTGGATGCCTCTTGGCAAGGACACTGGACCCTGGATTGGCCTTCCTCCTGTGCTCCCTGCCTTCTTCAAGGCTTGCTCTATGGGCGTTGGAGGCATAAATCAAGGCCCCAGGGAGGCGGGCTGCCGGCCAGGGAGGTCTGAGATTAGCAGCCACTGTGGGTGGGGGGCGGGGCTGAGCCGGATGTCCGCCCGGGGGGGGGGGGGGGCTCTACAAAGTCACCCAGGCCTGGCTGGGAACACCACCCCAGGCAGATGGGGGGGGAGGTACAAGAGGTCATCCAGGAGAGGGCTTGGGGACAGCCTCCTTCCTGTCACAGGGCTCCCATGGGCAGTGGGGTCAAGGGTCAGGCCTGATGCAGAGGAAGGCAGCAGGCTCCAGCCCACAGACCTCTGCGCCTCCAGAACCTGGTCTCCCCTTTCCCTGCTTCACCCCTCCACCATCCTATGCTTTGGGGAGGGTGAGGGTGGGGGAAGGAAGGGGCCCTGGGGCAGGTGGCCCTGGCTACTAGAAGCTGGAGCTCCCAAGGAGTCTGCAGGTAGAACACCTTGAGAGATCAGCCACCCACCACCCTGTGGGGCAGAGGAGGCTCCTGGCAGTGCAGTGTCCGCTAGCTCTCCGACCATAGCACAAGGCCTCCAGGGCCTGACTGGGGGAGGGCAGCCCAACTGGGAGGCACTTGGACCAACAGGTCAGTATGGGGACAGCCAGGCCGTTCACTTCAGTGTTGAGTTTCAGAGGAACTGGTTTATGGGGGGGCTTGGTTGGGGAGGAAGGAAGGGAGAGACGGAGAGAGAGAGGGGGAGGGAAGGAGAGAGACGGGGGGGGGGGGGGGGGGGGAGGGAGAGACAGGGAGAGAGGGAAGGAAGGAGACATACAGAAAGACAGGAAATAGGAGTGGGGGGGCAGTGTGTGTGGGAGGGGATATCTGGGTGTCCCATCTGCTGGCTCCCTCCCCCAAGGCCTGCAGGCTAAGATCTCACCCAGACCTTCCACAAGGTGGCAGAAACTCCACACCCTGAGCCTCAGCTACTGGCTCCCAGGGTCAGGGGCCTGCCTCCAGTATCTTTGCTGCTGGCCAAATGCCTGCCGAGTAAAGGGCTTTCAGGTGCAGACGCCCCATGGCTCCACGGCCACACACAACAAATGTGCTGACAAGAGAATCATGGTGGGCCTCATGTGCATGTTCAGCTGGACAGGTACCTAGCACAGCTCACTGTGCTACCAGACTCGGGTGTCACCCACATGGCAGAGCGACTATGGGTGCCATGGCGGCTACATGCCTGACTCAGCCTTCAGCCGGTTTTGTGAGGTAAGCCAGTTGTCCCCATCCTTAATGCAGCCCCAGGCCATGCCCTTAACTGGTCCCCAGGGCTGGGGGTTCCCTTGGCCAGGCAGTGAGCCTGACTCCACAGAGCAGGAAAACGGGGTGTGTATGTGTGTGTGTCTGAAAAGGCCTGGGGTTCTCTCAATAGTCAGGGCTTATCCTTATATATTTTTGTTTGTTTTTAAGATTTATTCATTTTTTTAAATTGGAAAGTCAGATTTACAGGGAAGGAGATACACAGAGAAAGATCTTCTATCTGCTGGTTTATTCCACATGTGGCCACAATAGCCAGAGCTGAGCCTATTTGAAGCCAAGAGCCAGGAGCTTCTTCCAGGTCTCCCGAGTGGGTGCAGGGTCCCAAAGTTTTGGGTTGTCCTCGACTGCTTTCCCAGGCCACAAGCAGGGAGCTGGATGTGAAGCGGGGCTGCCGGGATGAGGACCGGCGCCCATATGGGGTCCTGGCACTTTCAAGGCAAGGACTTTAGCCGCTAGGCCATGGCACTGGGCCCCACGTTGTATTTCTTAATGTACACCAAGAACCCTCACCTATATATCCACACTCCAACAGCCTGGGCTGGGGTGGGGGGGTGATCCCTCAAGCAGAAGGAAGTCACCACTGTGGCCTTTGGGTGCCTGCAGGAAGCTGCAGCCAGCAAGAACTGGCCAGGCTCCAGTTTGGGCAGCAAGTGTCCACTCTGCCTATGGCCTATCAGGCTGGCTCCTTGCCTTTGTGTCTCACGGCTAGACTGGGTTGGGGGACCCGGTCGCCCCACCCTTCCCTGTGGCTCTGCTCTCTGCAATGTAACAGGGAGAGGGGATCCTACCAGAGCCCCCACAGGAGAAAGATGCAGCTTGTGGTATTGGAAGAGGAAGCTGGTCCTGCAGGGTCCACCTGAAGCTTTCTGTGCTGGCACGGATGGAAAAATGGATCTAGAAGCAGGGTTTCCAGCCCAGCTTTCTGAGAAGTGGTCTGGCTCAGGGAGTACAAACCCATGGACCCCAAGGAGAAGGGCATTGGAGGCCTCCCTCACTTCTGAGGTCACAGCAGTTGGTAGCCATGGCTGGGGTCAGGTAGCTAAGGCGCTGCCGTGGCTGGTCTCCAAGCACCTAGTCCACTTGCCTGGGAGCCCCGGCTGTGCCCACTGCGCAGCAACAGTGAGTCACAAAGGCGGTGGCCAGAGGTCACAAAGGACATAGGGCAGTGCGGGACGCCCAGCCCAGGGGAGACTTCAGGTCAGCCGCGGGTGTGAGCGCTGGCGCACCCCCCGTCCCCCCGCCCCCACCCATGTGTGTCATCTGCTTTGTGAAGGCCCTGGTGCACGTGTTCAAGATCTACCTGACTGCCAACTACGCGTACAACTTCCGCAGCTGGCCCGTGGACTTCCGCTGGGATGACGTGCGCGCCGCCAGCAGGGGCGGCAGTGGCCACCGCGCACTCACGTGCGCAGCAGCTGCTGCGGGTGTCTGGCTACTTCGCGATGCGGCACTGGGTGGGGACACAGCCGGGAGGCCGCTGCCGCGAGGAGCACGTAGCCAAACACAATGCCTGCTGCAGCAGATCCGCGAGCTTCCCAGCCAGCTGGCCAGCTATGCACTGGCCCACTCGCTTGGCCGGTGGCTCGTGTACCCCGGCTCCATGTCCCTGATGACGCGCGCGCTGCTGCCGCTGCTGCAGCAGGGTCAGGAGCGCCTGGTGGAGCGCTACGGGGGCCGGCGCGCCAAGCTGGTAGCCTGCGACGGCAATGAGATTGACACCATGTTTATGGACCGACGCCAGGACCCGGGCAGTGAGGGCCGTGGCCTGCGGCTCGTCATCTGCTGCGAGGGCAACGCTGGCTTCTACGAGATGGGCTGTCTGTCGGCCCCACTGGAGGCTGGCTATTCGGTGCTGGGCTGGAATCACCCAGGCTTTGGCAGCAGCACCGGCACACCCTTCCCACAGCAGGACGCCAACGCCATGGATGTGGTGGTCAAGTACGCACTGCACCGGCTGCACTTCCCTGCCGCCCATGTGGTGATCTACGGCTGGTCCATCGGCGGCTTCACAGCCACCTGGGCTACCATGACCTACCCAGAGCTGGGAGCGCTGGTGCTGGATGCCACCTTTGATGACCTGGTGCCACTGGCGCTCAAGGTCATGCCACACAGCTGGAAGGGGCTGGTGGTGCGCACAGTGCGTGAGCACTTTAACCTCAACGTGGCGGAGCAGCTGTGTTGCTACCCAGGACCGGTCCTGCTGCTGCGACGCACACAGGATGAAGTGGTCAGCACCTCGGGCCACCTGCAGCCCTTGCCACCTGGCAACGTGGAGGGCAACCGTGGCAACGAGCTGCTGCTGCGACTGCTGCAGCACCGATACCCGGCCGTGATGGCGCGCGAGGGCCGAATGATCGTGACGCGCTGGCTGCGCGCCAGCAGCCTGGCACAAGAGGCCGCCTTCTACTCACGCCACCGCGTGGACGACAACTGGTGCCGGGCACTGCTGCAGTCCTACTGCGCCCACTGCCTCCAGGAGCTGGGGGACGAGGAGTCCGGGACACGGCACAGGCTCGCCTTCCCGTGGCTCGTGGGCCAGGGCCTGAGGCCGAGGCGCCGCCGGCAGCTGGCCCTGTTCCTGGCCCGCAGACACCTGAAAAACGTAGAGGCCACACATTGCAGCCCGTTGGAGCCGGCGGACTTCCAGCTACCCTGGGAGCTGTAGCCCCGCGCAGGCCTGGGACTTGCATGCGCCCTCGGCAGGCAGCACCCGGCTCGCGTCCCGCACTGGCAGGCCGCGGGATGGCTTCCCCTCCCCTCCCCCCGGACACTTTGGGAATCCCATGCCCAGCTCCTAAGGGGCCCGTAAAGATGCCTCTCTCGAGGTTGATGGCAGTGCTGTGTGATCACCAGGGAAGCAGGGAGGAAGGTGGGGGCAGTGCCAGGCAGATGGACATGCCGGTTTCAGAGGGAGCGGGCCGCAAGGGGCTATGTCCCAAGGCCGGGAGGGGATGGGATTGCCCACTAGGAAGCTAGCCGAGACACTGGACCGCGACCCCGAGCTGTGGGGGGCCTCGGCCAGGACCCCCCAGGCTGGCACAGGAGCTAGAGGCCTCCAGAGTCAAGGCTCACGGGGAGCTGCGGGAGCCAAACGCGCGGGGCTGGGCCGAGTCGCGGGCTCGTCGACCCTATCCTGTCCCCACGGGCAGGATCAGGACTCACGGCGTGGGAAAGCGGAACCCCGAGGCCCGGCGGCCGCGCGCCAGCACTGCAGCGGCTCGGACCTGCCAGTCTCGTTGCTGAAGCCAACCTGGAGGCCGCACGGCCCGCCGCCCCTCCAGCCTCGGCCAATCACATCGGGGCCCAGAAACAAACCGCCTGGCAACCGCGCCAAGGAGCGCTCTTATTGGGCGATGCTCGTGGAGGCGGGGAGGAGGGCGGTGCGCGACCGGGCGGAAGTAGGGCGTCGCGCCGCTGATGGCGTGGGCACGCGGCGACCGGGGCGGTTCCGCCGGTGTGCGACGGCGGCTGCAGCTCGGCCGTCGTGTGGACATGGACTCGGCCGGCCAAGGTAGCCGCCCGCCGCCCGGGGCTGTACCGCATTGCGGGCGTTTGTCACGTCCTTGTTTCTGCTGTTGGAATCTTCTAGGTTTTGCTGCTTTCTGCGAGTTTGCTTTTTCATGGGTGTCACGGGTCAGGAGCGGATGTCAGCCGTCCGCTGCTTCGCTCTGCAGTGCGCACCTGGGGTTTCCCGGCTTTGCATCCTGGGGGGCTTGTGACCGGCCTGGTGCACTGTGGGTTTTATTATTATTGTTAATTGTTATTATTATTTCGGAGGGGTCGGCCTGGTGCACTGTGGTCTTATTATTATTATTTTGGGGGGATAGCCTAATGGCTAATGTCCTTGCTTTGCACTTGGGCGCTGGTTCGTATTCCGGCTGCGCCCCGTCCCATCCAGTTTCCAGTCTGTGGCCTGGGAAAGCAGTCAAGGACGGACTAAAGCCTTGGGACCTGCACCCAAGTGGGAGACCCTGAAGAAGCTCCTGGCCCCTGGCTTTTGATCAGTGCAGCTCAGGCTGTTGTGTCCGCTTGGGGAGTGAACCAGCGAATGGAAGATCTTTCTCTCTCTTTCCTTCTCTCTGTAAATCTGACTTTCCAATAAAATTAAATAAATGCAAAAAAGATTATTTTTTATTAAAAATATTTACAGAGGGAATGAGAAAGATTTTCCATCTGCTGGTTTGTTCCCCAGATGGCCACAATGATCAGAACTCCACTGGTCAGAAACCAGAAGTTTCTTCTGGTTCTGCTATGCAGGTGCAGGGTCCCAAAACTTTGGACCATCCTCTCCTGCTTTCCCAGGCCACAAGCAGGGAGCTGAATAGGACGTGAACCAGTGTCCGCATGGGATATTGTCACTGCAGGCGACCCCCGGCACATCCTGGATTGTCTGGGGAGTCAGAGTGTCTAGGGGCAAACTGCAGAGGAAGCCTGCAGAGGGTTCATGGCACTGCTGAGCTGCACACCGGGTTAGTGTGGCAAGGGGTACACCATTTCTGCAGCGGGAGGGCCGTGCAGCTTCTCTATTGCCGTGAACTGAGGTAGCCCATTCTCCCTCCCCCTCTGCATGGCTGGATCTCCTGGTCAGGGGCTAAAGGGCCTGTGTCAGACTGCTCCCTGTAGAACCTGGGTGGGTGACGTGTCCCTGGCAGAAGCCTTGCATAGAAAGTGATGCTTGCGGGGCACAGTGGCTGGGGCGGGTCTGCCGAGAAGAAGCCTGTGGTCCCCCCTGGCTGCCCCTGCTGTCTCCTGGTGGAGTCCTGAAGTGGCCCTTTCTGACTGTTTTGTCCCAGCAGATATCAACCTGAACTCCCCTAACAGGGTGCTGCTCTCAGACTTTGGGCCGGAGCCCGCTGTCCCTGTGGGGGTCGCTGTGCCTACCATTGTGCCTGGGCTGACAGAGGCTGAGGCTGAGGAGCTGCGTGCTGAGCTTGTCAAGGTATGGCCATCGGGGTCACCCTATGTTGAGTGCCATCTAGCAGAGGGGACAGGGCCTGACCTTGTCTGTCCTTCGTGTGTGCAAAGTTGGCCATCTGCGAGGTCAGCACCTGTTTCCGGGTTCTAGGTCTCATGGAGCTGAGAAAAAAACGTTTTTTTTTGTGAGCCGAGTTTTTTTTGCAAACACGACTTTTCTGAACCTGCCTTGTGAGACCTGTTCTGGTGAGATGAGGGTGCTAAGCAAGAGCCTCTGGGGACATTCTTTTTTTTAGGATTTTCGTGTGCTCAGAGGCGCCTGGTGCAGGCTCCAGGAGAAGAGGAGCCCCCCTGACCCCTGCCCTGGCAAGTTGAGGTGCTGGATGTCAGCCCCGCAGCAGCTGTCTGCCCTTAGAAGGCTTGCGCGGAGGCAGCCCCAGGGCAGGGAGGCCTCCACCACATCTAGGTGGTGGTTCTTGTTTTGATTTGATTTTGAGCTACAGTTGAGAGAGGGTGCGTGTTCCACCTGTTGGTTTACTCCATGGGTGCTGGTCACTAGTGCTTGATAACAAGAAGGTGAGTTCCTCCCTTCCCACGGGGGGTCTGTGGTCTCCATCCCCTCATTGCTGTAGTGAAATTAGAAAGCTGACGGCAGGGCCTGGTACGGTGGCCTAGCAGCTAAAGTCTTCACCTTGAACGCACTGGGATCCCATATGGGTACCAGTTCTAATCCCGGCAGCCCTGCTTCCCATCCATCTCCCTGCCTGTGGCCAAGAAAAGCAGTCAAGAACGGCCCAACACCTTGGGACCCTGTACCTGTGTGGGAGACCAGAAGCTCCTGGCTTCGGAATGGCTTCAGATTGGTGCAGCACCAGCCATTGAGGTCACTAGAGGAGTGAGCCATAAGATGGAAGATCTTCCTTTCTTGCCTCTCCTCCTTTCTGTATATCTGCCTTTCCAATAAAAATAAATTAATTAAAAAAAAAAAAAAAGAAAGGTACATGTCAGGCAGGAGTGGTGCTTCTGCAAGCAGGGATTACCCGCAGCCTGGCAGTGTCGGGTGCTGCCAACTGTTGCAGCCGATGCAGCTGTCACTGACCACTGTGCTCTGCAGGTGGAAGAAGAAATTGTCACCCTGCGCCAGGTGCTGGCGGCCAAGGAGAGGCGCTGTGGGGAGCTGAGGAGGAGGCTCGGCCTCTCGGCGCTGGAGGGGCTTAGGCAGAACCTGTCGAAGAGCTGGCACGACGTGCAAGTGTCCACTGCGTAGGTGCCTGCCCTGTTGCTGGAGAGGGTGTTGCTGGGGTGCTGCCCTGCTGCCCCGAGTCTTGGGCCCATGGACAGGGTCTCTGCTTATTCCTGCAAAGGCAGGTGGACATACCTTCTGACCGTCCGAGCAGACACGAGATTGCCTCAGGCTTCCAGTTTGAGAGCTGATTAAGCTCTTAGCAAGTCAGTTTTCTGTGTCTGCTCAAGTGGGCACAAGTTCTTGGGAGTGTGACTTGGCCACAACCCCAGCACCTCTGGCCCTGACTGCTCTGATTAGGGAGTGGCCACGTGGCTTCTATGAGCTGTGGGTGTTGCTCAGAGGCCAGGTCTGGCTTGGAGGTAGATCTGGTCACTGGGCACCATCCATCTTCCTCCTCAGTGAGCAATGCTTGTGTGTTTTCTCAATTTGGGGGGATTAGAATCACTGGCACCTTCAAAGCAAGCTCCCTATGGGCAGTGTTTTCCCCAGTGATGGGCACATGGGCCGTCCTCAGTTGGCTGGGCCTCAGCTCACCTCCCTGGGCCCTTTCTGTTGCTGTGCTAGGGGTCCTGGCAGCCCCCTGGCTCACCTGCCATGGGAAGCCTTGTTGAGTCCTTCTGAATAATTCACTGGAGATTTTCTGTTTGTAGCTATGTGAAAACTTCTGAGAAACTTGGAGAGTGGAATGACAGAGTGACCCAATCTGATCTGTGAGTGCTATGTCACTAGCCACCCCTCCTTGCTCTTACCTTGGCTCTCTTGAGGGCACAGGCCCATGTTTGGGTCCGCTTGTGGCTGTCCTCTCCTGTTGCTTTGTGGAGACCCTCCTTTGAACTCGGGGGGGGGGGGGGGGGGGGGCTGGGAAAGTAACTGGAAGGGGCCTGGTGCATACCTCAGGCAGAAGGCCAGGGTGGGCAGCCTGGGCAGCGCCACCTGGTGGTGACTTCTCATTCTCTTGTTTTCCTGCCCTCCTTCCTCTGCAGAGCCCTAGCTTGACTCACTGCAGGGCATGATGTGGATTGGGTACTCTGGGTGTGAGGGGCCCTGCTGGGGAAGTCCTGAGCTCTGGGTGCAGCACTCATTCGTGTTGGCACAGCCACGTGCAGTGGGTGCCGCTTCACTGACTCCTGTGGTCTGAGACACTGGTGTTCCTGGCTGAGTGTCCCTGAATAGGGTCTGGTGTTTGCACACAGCCGCTTGATGGATTTTTCCATCTCAGTGGCAGGGGGTGCTGTGGTGGTTGCACAGAACCTGGGTGCAAAGACCTGGGGTTAGGCCCCAGGAAGCAGCTGCTGCCAAGGTGGTCTAGAAGCTACTGGGGGGTGGACAAACTGGTGCCGTGTGCTTGGGCACAGCAGGCAGCTCTTGCAGGGCTGTGCAGAAGTCCAGGTGACCTGTCTTTAGAGCTGTGGCAGACCGTGGCTTTGCAGGGGCGCATTCTTCAGGTTGCCCCTCAGCTGTGGTGAGCAGAGCCCAGCACCAGGCTGCTACAGTGCCCTCAGCAACAGAGTGGGTGCCCTGGGTCCTGGGCTTGGTGTGCGGCAGAGGTTCTCTTTGGGTCTCCCTCCACCCCCTTTCTGCTGGTGGGAGAACACTCCTGATCCCCCTGACCTGCCACAGCTGGAGTGGACGCCAACTCTGTCCTGAGCTGTGTGTTTATAACAGCTCCCTAGAGGGCTGCTGTGAGGATGGATCCTGCCTGTGCCGTTTGAGCTGGCACCGTGCTGCTTTGGTCCCTGGTAGGCTGAGAAGCCCAGTGCTGAGGTCCTGATTCATCCACTTGGACCCCTGTGGTTGCCAACTACCAGGGAGGGAGGTGGGGGTCCCCAGGATTCCCAGCAGCAGAGTGGTCTGGCCGGGCCTCTCTGTGCAGGCTTGTCAGTTGGCTGGGCTCTGGAAGACACTGAGAGGAGGACTCAGGAGGAGGCCGGCAGAGGCCTTGCCCTCTGGCTGGGGCAGCTTGGCCAGTGCTCTCTTTTTGGCTGCCTGGTCCATTTCTGTGTCATGACCCTAGCATGTGCCTGTGGTTCAGTAGGCTGTGGAGGGGTGAGACACAGGGCCAGGACCGGTGTCAGCTACAGATGAGGAGGCCTGCCCGGAAAGGAATCAACTGTGCTCCCCTCTCATGTTCATGTGGTGTAGGCTTGGGGACTGCTGCTGTCCCAGCTCCCTTGCACTGCTTCTTCCCTTTGAGCATCAAGAGTCCAAGGGATTTCCCAGAATTCTCTACTTCAGACTCATTCCAGCAGGCTATGGAGTGTCGATGAGGTCCTGTTCACTTGTTGGTTTTGGGGGATGGAGGTGGAGGTTTAGGACCTGCACCCTGCAGCTGGCCTTCTTGGCGTTCAACAGAGCCCAGCTCTGGGGACAGACTGCTTCTGTGAGCTTGTTGAGCCTGTGAGCACCGGGAGGGAGCTGTGTGTGGGCAGCTGCAAACCCCTAACACTCTGCCCTAGAGCTTGCCGCTTGGAGCCCCTCGGGGCTCAGCCTGGTGACTGGGATGGCTCCAGAGGCCATGGCTCTCCCTGTGGCCTTGGGGTCACTGCCCTGACTCCCCAGTGGCTTTGTGTCATGTTTGGGTTGTGGTCTGCCCTGACAGAGGCCATCTGGTCTTTTGTTGGGCAGTAACCTCTGCTGTGGAAAGCTCTACTGGGCTGTGCTGCTGGAGCTGAGGTCATGGAGCCAAGGCTCAGGGCGAAATGCCCATGCTGGGCCAGCAGGTGGACAGGGTGGAGGGAGGAAACTGTTCTGAGAGGACACTGGAGGACAGCACTAGCCCTGGGGAGGGCAGTCTCTGCTCTGCCTTTGCCATGCACCGCCTCTCACTCCAGGAGAAAAAAGGGGCCAGTGCTGTCCCAGGTGGGTGGAGGTGAAGCTGAGGGTCATCATAGAGAGTCTGCGCTCTTGTAGCAGCCAGAGAGCTTCAAGCCCTGTGCCAACTTTGCCTTCCTTGCCCTTGGGTTGTGGCTGTGCTCCCACTGGCTCGGCTGACTTCGGTGTCTCCCTCCTAGGTATAAGAAGACTCAAGAGACGCTGTCGCAGGCGGGGCAGAAGACCTCAGCTGCCCTGTCCACTGTGGGCTCTGCCATCAGCAAGAAGCTTGGGGACATGAGGTGAGAATTCCCTGCCTTGGTCTCTGACAGGGACTGCTGAGGCTGCTCTGGGAGTTCAGGAGCACAGCTCTGTCTGCCGACTTGGCGTTACTTCTGCGTTCCTGGGGATGGTGGTCCCCTTACTGCCTCTTGGCTTGGTGCAGAGGTTGTGGGTCTGGGCAGGCCCCAGAGCTCACAATCAGGTGCCTGGAGGCAGGGCCATGGAGGTTGGAGCTAGGGTTGGAGCTGGGGCAGGTGGCTGCACGTGGGGGCACCTGTGCTCCTTGCTGGCCAGAAGCCCCCAGGCAAGGTCCACAGGTGTGGATGAGTGACAGCCAGCCAGGGGTGCTTTGTGGCTCACCTCTGTCACCACATTGGAACTGTACACTGCTGTTTTTTTTTGTTTGTTTTGCTTCGTTTTTATTTATTATTTATACGAGGTAAGTAAATTTCTCCTATTTCACAATTTAGGTTTAGAATAATAGGGGCTCCTCCCCTCCCCACCTGTTTTGTTTAAGTTTATTAAAAATGTGCTCTAGGGCCAGTGTTGTAGCACAGCAAATAAGTCTACCATCTGTGATGCCAGCATCCCGTATGGGTGCTGCACTTCCAGTCCAGCTCCCTGCTAACAACCTGGGCAGGCAGTGGTTGGCCCAAGTGTTTATGACGAAGCTACTGGTAACGATCTGTGGAATGAACCAGCAGATGGATGATCTCTCTCTCTTTCCTTCTCCCTCCCTGCCTCCCTGACTTTATTCTCTCTCCTTCTCTTTTTTTATAATTCTGCTTTGCAAATAAATACATATTTTAAAAAATTATTTGAAAGGGTTAGGTTTAGAGTTATTTGAAAGGGTTAGGGTTACAGAGAGAAGAGACAGAAAGATCTTCCATCTGCTGGCTCAGTCCTCAAATGACTGCCATGGCCGGAGCTGAACTGATCCAAACCCAGGAACCTCTTTCAGGTGTCTCATGTAGGCGCAGGGTCCCAGGGCTTTGGGCCGTCCTCTGCTGTTTTCCCAGGCTATAAGCAGGGAGCTGGATGGAAAGTGGAATAGCTGGGACATGAATGAGCATCCTTATGGGTTCCTGGCGCCTACAAGGTGAGGATCAGTCAATTGAACCATCACACTTGTCCTGTCAAATAAATACAAACTTTAAAAAAGTGTATAGACAGGCAAAGAGAAACGTGGGTAAGCAGAAGGGTGCCCATCTGCCGCCATCATGGCGGCTGCCCTTTCTGTCTTGTGTGTGGTAGCAGGAACCCAATTTCTTGAATCTGTGTCTAAATTTGCAGAAAAGTGGAGTTAAGAGCCAAGCTGGATGCTGAGTCTAGACTGTCCTGCAGGAGAAGCTGCACGAACAGGTCTCCTGCGTGCCCTGGTCACACCTGCCATCAGCTGTGGCCGGAGTACTTGCGATTGCCCAGGATGTGCACTGGCCCCACGTGGGAGCCTCAGTTCATGGTCCCACATGGGAGCCCCAGGATCATGGCCCTGTGGGGGAGCCTCAGGCAAATAGCCCCATGTGGGAGCCCTGGGTTCTTGTTATCGTGTGGGAGCCCTGGGCACATAGTCCTGTGTGGGACGCTCTGGTGTGGTGCAGCTGAGCTGTTGGCAAAAGGTGTCTGCTGTGACTCCCACTGAGGCTCTGAAGGGACTCAGCTCTGCTCCCTCTGTTATGCCACCTACTGTGTGGTGCTGAGCTGGGGTCGGGGTGGCTCACAGCACAGAGGTCTGACCCTGCATCCAGCTACAGAGTGTTCCCTCTTGGAGATAGCAGGGCCTGCTGTGCTGAAGTTGCCTGCTCCAAGGCGTGGTCTTGCTCATGTTGGGGTCATTTGCCCACACTGGGTTCCCACACTTCTCCCTGAGGGTGGAGGTTTCGGCAGTGTTGACAGAGCTGACCAGTCCTGGCTGTTCCCATCTGGACATTTCTTGAGTGGTCAGCCCTGGTCTGGGAGCTTGCTCTGCCTCTTCTTGAGAGGAGTGAAACACCGCAGGCTCTGCAGACTCTAGGCCTGGCCGCTGAGCCTGCTGCGCCACCTGGACTGTGGCTGGTGTCAGCAGGGTTCCTGCAGGGGTCACCTCCGCTGCCTGGTGGTGCAGGCACTCAGCCCCCAGGGCAAGCAGGAGCTTTGAGACCAGCCTTCTCTGTTGGCTTGTTGTGTCTAGCATGCCTGAGGGCTGGCCTGCTTGTACTGGACAACTGTTCACAGGTAGTTTCTGGGGAGGCTGTTCAACATGCTGGGTGGAGTCGGGACTTTTGGGCAGCCTGGCCTGAGGCGCTGGGCGGTGTCATCTGGCCTGTGTGCCATGGCTCCCCCACATCTGCACATGGCTGGGGTCACATGGACCGTCTCGGCCTCCTCCCTTTACTCTCCAGATGGGTCTCTGAGTGTGACCATGCCCAGGAGAGTCATTGGGGCCTGCCCCCTGTCTTGTGGCCGTATAGTGTCCTTGCCACACAGTGTGGCCTCTGAGGCTCTGCTTACAGCCGTGGGGGCCCCCGGCTCCCCCCTCTCTGCTGACACTGCGTTTCTGCTTTCCTTCTGCTGCCGCTGTCTGCAGGGTTCATCCGTTCTCACATTCCTTTAGGTAAGAGGGAGCCGGACACCCCAAGAAAGCCCCCTGCATCAGGATGGACTCTGGGACCCTGAGTGCCTGGGAGGGAGCAGTGGCACTGTGGACGGTGTCCCGGGCTTCCACTGGACCCCTGTGGACCCAATGCAGGGCACTTGGGCAGCCTCCTGGGTGCTTGCATTCAGAGTGAATTCTTGAGACATGGCTGGCCTTCAACCGCCCTCTGCACTCCTGGGCTCGTCCTGATTCCTTGGAATCCGGGAAGGTTCCTTAGCTTTTTTTGCCTCATTTGATGCCTGAACCCCCTAGAGTGTCCTCCTGAGGAGTCCTGGCCTTGTGCTGGTCAGGCTGCTGCCATGTGCTCTGAATGTCCCCGTTCTGACAGGGCTGTGCTCCCCACAGAGGCAGCAGCAGGTACCTGGGGCTTAAATTCTTTGTGGGGCTGGGAGCTAGATCCAGCTGTGCCAGGTGTGGAGTCAGGCTCCTGGGTGCCAGTCCTGTCTTCGGTGCGCTAACTCCTTCTTTCTCTGCTCCCCGTGCTCCCGGCAGCAGCCACTCCATCCGCCACTCAGTAAGCATGCCGGCCATGAGGTAACGCGAGCTGCACCCTCCACTCAGCTCTGAGAGCCAGCCTGCATTTCTGTTCTCCCCAAATAAGGACTGCTCCTGAGGCCGTGGGTGGGGTGGTGGCTGGTTCTAAGTCCTGCCTTGGAGACCTCCAGGGTCAGGCGAGGCAGGGGATGGGAGCTTCTGCATAGACCCCAGCCCCTGTTTGCAGGCCGCCTGAGTCACGGGGGTCTCTGGGCTGTGGTCCTGGTCCTCTGCTGTCAGCAGAACCTGTCCTCATTAGGGACTGTGGGGCATGGGGGTGGGGGAGTCAAGCAGAGGAGGCTAGCCTGCTTTCATTGCCATCCTATCCTGCTTCCTCCTGTCTGAGACATGGACACAGCAAATTGCTTTGTGGCCCAGAGCCATTGAGCTGGAGGAGCACACGTAGAGGGCTGAGAGTCCCTCCCGGGAAGGGCCATGATTGGGTGCTGTGGGGAGCGTGTCTCCCCTTGGCCATGTCACTGCAGGGAGGTGGAGTGCTCTTGGGGATTCTTCCTTGGATAATGGAAATCAAGCCTGCTCCTCACACACCTGTTTCCCTCCCTCAGGAACTCTGCAACCTTTAAATCATTTGAAGACCGAGTCGGGACCATCAAGGTAATTGTTCCCGGCTCTCCAGCGACGTGCCCCACGGCACACCCATGAGCCTCTCTCCGGGGTGTCCTGCCATTGGGGTTCTGGACACAATCCCTGGGTGGCATTGCTTCTGCCTGTGGAGAGTGTCCAGCCCAGCTCAGGTGTCTCCTTTTGTTCTCCTACAGTCCAAGGTTGTGGGTGGCAGAGAGCCTGGCAACGACCCTAACCCTTCGTCCCCTGGAAGTGACGACCAGCCCCTGCCAGACCACACGCCTTTCTGAGGCATCGAACACTGCGAGCACACCCTGATCCTGGCTGCAGCTTGACCCTGGCAGAGCTGGCGGGACGACGGCCGCAGTGACAGCTCCGACAGAGTGGCCTCTGCCCTGGGCGTGGGCATTTCCCCCGCTGTCCTTCCTGGGGTGCAGGAGGGGTCAACTGGAGAAGTTCCCTGGGTCGTGTGCCCCTCATGGAAGGTCAGGGGAGGGTGTCCACCTGGGAAGCCTGCCCGAGATCCAGAAAGGAACTGATTATTGGCAGTTGTTTAGTTGTCCTGGGAATGATTGAACTCCAACACAAGCAAATTCCTTATTTTTTTAATGCAGTGGAATTCCAAAAATTAAATTTGGGCAAAGCAGCTTTAGCCTCATACTTGTAGAATATTATTTCTTTGTACTTGCTAAAATGCAATCTGTGTGTTGCCTCATGCTTTATCCGTTCATTGTCTACAAAGAGAAGTCCTTCACAGTCCTGCATGTGTGTGGCCCAGCCTGTCGAGCCTTCTCCCAGCCCTGGCTCTCAGGTGATCTGATGGATACCATGGCCTAGCCTGGCCTGCCGCACACCTATTCTGGCTGAACGCAGGGGTCTGACCAGCATGGTCACTTCCTTGTGTACAAGACCCACCTCTTAGTGACATGGTGTGGCAGGGACCAGTCATTGAGACACAGCAGGGTTTGGTGCCTAGCTGCAGTTTCCTGCTAAGACAGACACAGTGGTGGCCCAAGTAGCTTGTCTCCTGTCAGCCACATGGGAGACCTGGATCATGTCCCTTGCTTTCGCATGCAGCTCGGGCTGAGCCCTGGCTGTGGTGGGCTCCTGGGGAGTGGGTCAGCATGATGGCTTTTGCAGCTGTGTCTCAGGTGAAGTAAGAGACATGGCAATGCCCGCTATGGTGCCTCTGCTTGAGCCTGGCCTGGCTGAGCAGCATTGCCCAGTCCAGTCTCCGGTTGGCTGTGTGGTTTGGGCAGGGGCACACCAGTGGGCCTGCAAAGATCGCCCTCCTGTTGGACTGCTGTGGCTTGGCAGTCTTGCCAGAGACCTATGGTTGGGAACCAGATCAGAGGGCAGCTCTGCCTTGGTGGCTGGAGTGGGCTCAGCACTGTCATCAGGTGTCTGCTGACAGGTGCACGTATGCCACTTGTGAACTCTTGCAGTCTGTGCCTCCACAGCATACATGGCTAAGTGCCATTTGGGATCCTTCCTCCCAAGCCAGGAGTGTGAATGAGAATCGTACCAATGGGTTGTCTAGGTCAGCAAAGCACTCCTTTTGGGGAAGCTCGTGGAATATCTTCCAGGTCCAGGGGAAAGGCAGGCACCTTGGTCAGCAGAGGCTTGCCAGGATCTTGTAGGCCCACTGTGGTGGCGCCCTGCCATGCTTGGCAAAACTTGAGCGTTACGCCCCAGTATAAGCAGAACCAGGTCTGTCACAGGTACAGGGAACCTGTGGGCAGAGTGACTGCTGTAACTTGCAGGTCAGGGACAAGGACTTTGGGACAGTTGGGGGTAGCCTTCTGCGGAAGGGGTCCAGCCCAGGCAGCATGACAGTCCCAATGGCTGTCACAAAGGACACAGCACGCGCTGTGGGGTGCCCCAGGGAGCTTCAGGCACTCCTGTGAGTCAGGTGTTTGATACTTTGCCTGTGGGGAGGGGTACAGAGAACCACAGAAGGTTTGGTTCCCCTGCTGCAGTGACTTTTAAGTACATTTTTGTTCATTTATTTTGGAAGTGAGAAGTTGTCCATTTGCTAGCTGACTCCCAGATGCCAGCAACAGCCAGGACTGGGCCAGGAAGGCTGGTGCTAAAAGCAGGGGACATAGTGGGTCTCCCTGGCAGGGCTGGAACCCTCAGTGCTGCCTCCAGGGTCAGTCAGAATGAATGAGCCAGATTCTGGCCCATGAGGGCAACTTGGCCTCTGCACCTGGTGCTCGCTCAACTTGTTTTTTTATGATTTAGTTGTTGGAAAGGACAAGTTAGAGAGTGAGACCTTCTACCCACTGGGAGATGCACTGGTTCACTCCTAGATGGCTGCAGTGGCCAGGGCTTGGCCAGACCCAGTTGAGGAGCCAGGAGCTTTTTCTGTGTCTTCCATGTGGATGCAGAGCCCTGAGTGGTTGGGCCATCTGGTGTGCTCCCAAGTGTTAGCAGGAGCTGGGTGTGGTGGAGCAGCTGGGCCAGCCTCAGGCTTAGAGTCAGAGGGGATAGCTTTAGCCCACCTGCCTCCTGCTGTTGCCTCATGGTGTCAATGTGGCCTCATTCTTTTATATATATATATATATATATATATATATATGTAATAAAAGTGCTATCATTACTATCATCATATTATGATACAGCTCCATAGGCCTTGGGATTTCCTCTACCTCCAACCCCTGATTCCACCCCCCCACACACTGAGTTCTCCCACATCACCACAACAGCATAGTTCCTCATAAGTCCATCTTTGTGGGCATGGACATCCCATTGTCAAGACACATCCAACAGTTTCCCTGGGAATCCATCCTCGATCTGGAGGTAGAGATGCACACTGCACCACATCCTCACGTCTAGACACGTCAGTCTGCACTACACAGTCAATGTAAATCCCCCATGTGAAAAGCCATAAAACAAAATCAACAGGAAGAAAAACAAAAATTAACAATGCCATGAAGGTAAACAGCATGCCACTGGATATGGCAGTCTCCATTACAGTTACTACACATCTCTAAAGGGAAAGCCACAAAACAAAAGAAGAAAAAAAATTCAAAAGTGCCATGAAGTTAAAGAACATGGTACTGAATAACTAATGTGTTGCTGAGGAAGTGAAAAAGGAAATCAAGAATCATCTTTAAATGATGCTACCGTATGATCTGAGTCATTAAAGAATTCAATGAGAAAAAAACGTGTTTTGAAGAAATGAAGTTAACATCAAAATCCATGAGATATAGTTTTTGCTGATCTTTGTTGGTGAGATATATCTCCTGTAGGCAACAAATAGATTTTTTTTTTAAATCCAGTTTACTAATCTATGACATTTGATTGATGGATTTAATCCATTTACATTCAGGGTTGATATGAATGGGTGGTAATTTGGTCCTGTCACTTAGCAATGGGTTCATTGATTCAGTCCTCTATTGTTATTTTACGGGGATGTCCTTCACATTTGCCTTCGGTTTTGGTGGGTGCTATTCCTCTTCTCTGTCAAGAGAACATCATTAAGTATCATTTGTAGGGCAGGTTTGGAAGAGATGTATTTTTTTTTAACTTTTCTTTATTGTGGAAGAATTTTATTTTTTTTTTAATAATCTTAGTTTATTAGGGTACAAAGGGTCAAGGGCTACAGGGTTAAAGTGGGTAATATCATTGTTTCCACACTAATATAATCATTTTGCCCTGTATCTGGGGTTAGGGGAGTAACAAAGGGAAAAGCCCCACCCAACTTCCCACCCATCCCCGATCCCCAACATGAGGCGCTCTCCAAGGGTCCTGCTCAAACAGTTTGGATAGTTCATCAGTTCTGGATTGCTGCCAATCTCACAGTCCCAACTGCAATGAAACCTATTCAGAGTCCACTGGCTGACAGTCTCTTGATGGTTGGGGTTCCAAGTTCAGCAGTTCAGTTGGGGAGATATCCAAAGAAACTTCATCTGAGTTGATCCCAGATCTGATTCTTGAGTGAGTTTGCTAGTACAGACTCCAACACCGTCCGTCACACCAATCAGCTTATGCATATGCTGGTCGTTGCGATTGCTGGGTCCGTTCGGCTTCCAGCCCTGTCTTCCTTGTGAACCAATGGGTGTTGTAGTACAGCTCAATTCTATCCACTTCATACTCGGTCTTCATGCAAACCAGTGGGAGCTGCAGCCTAGTTGGGGCAATTCCCCAAAACCCCTACCAGTTCTGCCCCCTACCCTGGTTCCCATGCTTGCCAGTATGCCCCGCAGGCTTGTCCAGTCTGTCCCACATTCCATTTATCTCTCACACACGTTAATGGACATTGAAGCCTAGTTCAACCCAACCAACCTATTATCCAGCCCATACACCTACTGGCAGGTGCCTTTCTGTCTAGCACCCCCTGCTCCTAGCCTGGGTTTCGTGCTGTCCAGTGAGGGTGGTAACCCTGAGGGAGGTGCCCACTATTTCCCTACTAGGCCACACCCACTCTCAGAGTATGCAGTCTCCAGGTGGTTTTGGCATTTAACTTGACAGAATTAGCTCCCAGTACCAGCCTCTGCCAGCTAATGTGTGGCTAAGCCCAAACACCCCTCAACCCACTCTAATTTTAACTCGCACCAGTCAGAACAGTCAGCTCACCGTGAGGCCCACAGGTGCTATAGCCCTGCCTAGTCTGAACTGCCCCCATCCGTATTCACACTTTCCAATGGAAGTAGTTATCCAGCAGGGGTGCTCACGTTCCCCTGTCGGCTTTGCCTCCTCCCCGATTGTCACATGTGCTGTTTGTGTGCTGCAACCACATCTGGTACGGCTCATCTCACCTTGGCATTACTTGTTGTGTACTGGTATATGTTGCAACCGAACCTGGCTCGACCCTCACTCTGTTTTGGTGCTTGGATTCACCAGAAGGTAATGTGAACAGATTCAGGCTGGTCTGCCCCCAACCCATGCCATGTGTATGCCAGTGGGATAATTTTCATTGCCTGTTCTGGGTTGTTCCCTATTGTGCTTCCTGCGCTTGCCTGCAGGGGACTGTGTCCTGCCAGAGAAGTTGCCCAGGCTCCTCCACCAGAACCTCTCCCAATGCCAATTTTTGCGCATACCAGTGGGTCCATGAGCCAGCATTACTCAGTTCGCCTCCTATCCTAGGAGGAACAGTGGCTTTTCCTGACTGGCCTTCGACCCAAGCTGGTTCTTGTTGTTGGATATTTCAACCCAGCCATGGCTCTTCCATACCCCCACACAGCTCACACATGGTTCAGTAAGGGCTGAGACCTAGCCTAGTCTGTCACACATCTCTCCCCGGTCCTCCAGAACACCAGATGGTGTCGGAAGAATTTAATTTAATTTTCAAAGGCGAAGCAAAGCTTTGCTGGGTACATTATTCTGGGCCAACAATTTTTTGCTTTTGGAATCTGGAATATGTCGTTCCATTCTCTTCTGGCATATAGTTTCCTGTGGGAGATCAGCTGTGAGTCTGTTGCCATTACTCTATATGTCAATTGTTTTTCTAAAAAATTTTTTTAAATTTTATTTCAAAGTCAGATATACAGAGAGGAGGAGAGACAGAGGGGAAGATCTTCTGTCCAATGATTCACTCCCCAAGTGAGCACAACGGCTGGTGCTGCGCTGATCCGAAGCTAGGAGCCAGGAGCCTCCTTCAGGTCTTCCACACGAATGCAGGGTCCCAAGGCTTTGGGCCATCCTTGACTGCTTTTCCAGGTCACAGGCAGGGAGCTGGATGGGAAGTGGAGCTTCTGGGATTAGAACTGGCGTCTATATGAGATCCTGGTGCGTTCAAGGCGAGGACTTTAGCTGCTAGGCCATCGTGCTGGACCCGCACAAGCACATTTAAGGATTTTTTTCCTTATGTTCAATTGAAGAGAGCTTGGTTATCATGTCATAGTGAAGATCGCTTTTGGTCAATTCTGTATCTCCCATTTCCTCGGTGTCTTCCTCAGTTAATTCTGAGGTTGGCAAAGAGTTTTGCTCCTTTGCAGGGGAGTCTTCAATAATATTCATTGTGCCTTTGTCTTTTTTTTTGCTCTTGGTCATTGTACTTCTGGTTGGCAGATTCTCCTTAGGGCAGGTTTCCAAGCTGTGTCACCCATAGGTCTACAGTTGATTTTACTTGTTATGGTTGGCACATGGCTCTTTGCACTCACTTGTACCATTCCCTCCAGTGAGTTTCACATCTGAGCTCTTATGTTAAATATCCACCATGGTCTGCATAGCCCAGCTCCTGGCTCAGCATTCTGCCTCCTGTGATCCCATGCTGTTGTTGCATCGTTGTCTGTACATTTCTCCGAGTTCTGGCTTGTGCAATTCCCAGGATGATAGCACACGCACAGCTCACAGTTGTCAGAGCCTTTGCCACACTGTACAAAATGGTATCTGATGTGAAACTGATTGATCTGATGGCCATTAGGTCTGGGGACTACCTGCACTTATTTTTGATGGAACCTGAAGGATGCCTCGTTGTTGCAATTCACTGAGCCAGAAATGAGTTCGCTCCCAGCTTAGTGCATGCAGTCCTGTCCCAGTGATTGCCTCCCTACACAAGGTGGCGCTGATTCGCTCTAGTGGGGCTTTGGGCTGTGCTATCCACCCCGGTCTGACACCACCTATTTGGGATCTGCTGCTCTGTCTCTGCTCGTGATCACTTCAAACAAACCAACAGGACAGGCAGTTCTTTGTCTAGGTTCACCTCCTCAGCTTCCGGTGGATTCCTCTTCCCACCTGGTTGTTAGTTGAGTTCCAGCCTCAGGTGCAGTTGAGATCACTGCTTGCTGAATGCTGCTGGTGTATTGGGTCACTCTGGCAACACACCATTGTTTCCGCTGTTTTCCTGTGTCTATCAGTCTCCAGGTGTCTCTTTGCTGTCAGTCTGTCCTGTTTCCTGGAGTGTGCCCATTCTGCTTCACCCTGGCTAGTGTTTCTCCATCTGTTTAAACGTGTCCTCACCCTATTCCACCATCTTGATTATTGGCCTCATTCTCTTCATTGTCTTTCATGTTGGTTTTTGTTTTTTGTTAGCTTGAAGGGCAGAGTTAGAGCAAGGAGAGATGTTCTAACCTATCCTGACAAATGGACTCAGCGGGAGTTGGTGGCAGGTTGCAGCCCAGCTGAGCTCTCCCTGCTGTCCTCCCAGAAGCCCTAGATGGAGCACGTGAGCCGTGAGGGCTAGGATGGTTTGTTCATAAACATTTGTAGAGGCTGAGGTAGTGGTGCCTGACATGCTGCCATCATGGCTGGGCAAGGCTGCTGCTCCAGTAGAGGGTGGTGAGGGTCTGGGCCCTGCACCCCGTGAGAGCCCTGGAGGAGCTCTGGCCTTAGGTCTGGCTCAGTGTTGGCTGTTGCAGCCATCTAGGGAATTCTCCCTCATTCTAATTCAGATAAACGGATCTTGGAAAGGTGATCTGTCGGGCATGTCTGTGAAGATGCCTCTGGCTTGGCCACAGTGTCCCCCAGGTACAGTGCATCAGCATGGCTGGGCAGGTGTCTTTTTTTTTTTTTTTTACCAGCAACACTGTCATGGGCACCTCCGAGATGTGCCAGGCTCTGACAGTACGTTGTTAAGACACTTCCTTTGAAGTTCACTTGTGCCTGCAGCTCTTCCTGCACAGGCTACACCGCTGTCTGAGATGGCCCAGGACCGAGGTCTCCCTGCCTGCTGCTCTGTGGCAGCTCTGATAGCAAAATGAGAAGGCCCAGCCAGGGCAGCGGGCAGGGGTCTGGGCATGTACTCAGGACCCTCGGTGTCACCTTACAAATACTCTCATTTGGAAGAGGTCGGGCCTGGTACAGTAGCCTAGCAGGTAAAATCCTCCCATGCACCAGGATCCCGTATGGGTGCCGGTACTAATCTTGGTGGCGTTGTCTCCAGCTCCCTGCTTGTGCCCTGAGAAAGCAATCGAGGAAGGCTCAAGGCATTGGGACTCTGCACCCACTTGAGAGACTTGGAGGAAGCTCCTGGCTCCTGGCTTCAGATTGGTGCAGCTCCGGCCATGGCTGTCACTTGGGAAGTGAATCATCAGACGGAGGATCTTCCTCTCTGTCTGTCCTCCTCTATATATCTGACTTTGCAATAAAAATAAATGCATCTTATAAAAATAATACAATTTTTTAAAATTCTAAAAAAAAGAAATCTTAAAAAAAAGAGGTTCCAGTTGTTTGCTCCCAACCCTGACACCTGCAGAGGCCAGGCCAGGGCAGCAGCAGAGACCTCAGGCACCCCTCACCTCAGTAGGAAGCTGGGATTGGAAGTGGGGCTAGATCCAGGCTCTCTGATGGGGGACAGGAAGCCATTCTTGCCAGCAGGGACTCAAATGGAGCACCCAACGCAAGCCCCTGGTTTATGTATTAGACACCTCCCATCTGTTAGCTCACTCCGCAGATGGCTATAACGGCCACAGCTGGACCAGGCTGAAGCCAGAAGCTTCAAGGGGATCTCCTACCGAGGCCCCAGGATTTGGCCATCACCTGCTGCTTTCCCAGACCATGAGCACCCCAGACCCGACTGGCACCCCGGGAGGTGGTTGTGGGCCCCTAGCCTTAAAAGTGGGGACTAACCACACACATCGCAGAGCTGTCCACGAGGGGCAGGCCTGCCAGGATCACGGCATCTCGGCTCTGGAGTGGGCCAAGGGCAGCCGGGCGCCCACCACTGTCCACTCCAGAGTCTGTCATGGCTCCAGGAAAGAGAGGAGGTGGTGCAGGGTCAGGGAGGAAGCAAGTTTGCTCGGCGCCTGCGGCCCGTGGAAGAGGGTGCTCCCTGGCCGGCTCGCCAGGAGACCAGCGACTCAGAGAGGCCAGCCCTCACCGCGGCCCCGGGCAGCTCTCCTGCACCGGGCGGCTCTCCTGCACCGGGCGCCTGTCCTGTACTGGGTGGCTCTCCTGCACCGGGCGCCTGTCCTGCACCTGGCGGCTCTCCTGTACCGGGCGGCTCTCCTGTACCGGGCAGAGGTCCTGCACCGGCGGCTCTCCTGCTCTGGCCCCGGGTGGCTCTCCTGCACCGGGCGGCTGTCCTGTACTGGGCGGCTGTCCTGGTCCGGGCGGCTCTCCTGCACCGGGCGGCTGTCCTGCACCGGGCGGCTGTCCTGTACCGGGCGGCTCTCCTGTACCGGGCAGAGGTCCTGCACCAGCGGCTCTCCTGCTCCGGCCCCGGGTGGCTCTCCTGCTCCGGCCCCGGGTGGCTCTCCTGTACCGGGCGGCTCTCCTGTACTGGGCGGCTCTCCTGCACCGGGCGGCTCTCCTGCACCGGGCGGCTCTCCTGCACCGGACGGCTGTCCTGTACTGGGCGGCTGTCCTGCACCGGGCGGCTCTCCTGTACCGGGCGGCTCTCCTGCACCGGGCGGCTCTCCTGCACCGGGCGGCTCTCCTGCACCGGGCGCCTCTCCTGCACCGGGCGGCTGTCCTGCACCGGGCGGCTCTCCTGTACCGGGCGGCTCTCCTGTACCGGGCAGAGGTCCTGCACCGGCGGCTCTCCTGCTCCGGCCCCGGGTGGCTCTCCTGCTCCGCCCCGGTGGCTCTCCTGTACCGGGCGGCTCTCCTGTACTGGCGGCTCTCCTGCACGGCGGCTCTCCTGCACCGGGCGGCTGTCCTGTACTGGGCGGCTGTCCTGCACCGGGCGGCTCTCCTGTACCGGGCAGAGGTCCTGCACCAGCGGCTCTCCTGCTCCGGCCCCGGGTGGCTCTCCTGCTCCGGCCCCGGGTGGCTCTCCTGTACCGGGCGGCTCTCCTGTACTGGGCGGCTCTCCTGCACCGGGCGGCTCTCCTGCACCGGGCGGCTGTCCTGTACTGGGCGGCTGTCCTGCACCGGCGGCTCTCCTGTACCGGGCGGCTCTCCTGCACCGGGCGGCTCTCCTGCACCGGGCGGCTCTCCTGCACCGGGCGCCTCTCCTGCACCGGGCGGCTGTCCTGCACCGGGCGGCTCTCCTGTACCGGGCGGCTCTCCTGTACCGGGCAGAGGTCCTGCACCAGCGGCTCTCCTGCTCCGGCCCCGGGTGGCTCTCCTGCTCCGGCCCCGGGTGGCTCTCCTGTACCGGGCGGCTCTCCTGTACTGGGCGGCTCTCCTGCACCGGGCGGCTCTCCTGCACCGGGCGGCTGTCCTGTACTGGGCGGCTGTCCTGTACCGGGCGGCTGTCCTGTACCGGGCGCCTGTCCTGTACCGGGCGGCTGTCCTGTACCGGGCGGCTGTCCTGCGCCGGGCGGCTGTCCTGCGCCGGGCGGCTGTCCTGCGCCGGGCGGCTCTCCTGCACCGGGCGGCTTTCCTGTACCGGGCGGCTTTCCTGTACCGGGCGGCTGTCCTGCACTGGGCGGCTTTCCTGTACCGGGCGGCTCTCCTGTACCGGGCGGCTGTCCTGCACCGGGCGGCTCTCCTGCACCGGGCGGCTCTCCTGCACCGGGCGGCTCTCCTGTACTGGGCGGCTGTCCTGCACCGGGCGGCTCTCCTGCACCGGGCGGCTCTCCTGCACCGGGCGCCTGTCCTGCACCGGGCGGCTCTTCTGCACCGGGCGCCTGTCCTGCACCGGGCGCCTGTCCTGCTCCGGTCCCGCCCCGCGGGCTGTCAGTGGGGCCCCACCCCCGCGGCGCGCAGACGCAGTGCGGCCCTCCGGGGCCCACGTCCTTCCGGGGGCGCGCGCGCCGGTGCGGGTGCGTGCGTGAGCGTGCGCGTCCTCGCCGCTGCCGCTGCCGGTGCAGCTCCCGCGCCCGCCGCCGCCGCCCGGGTTCCAGGCCGAGGATCGTCGGCCGCGCAGAGTGCCGCGGAGCGGGAGGCGAGCCGCGAGCCGGCGGGGCGGGCCGACTCCCAGGTGAGCGGGCGCAGGCACCGGCGCCGCCGCAGCCGGAAATGGCGGCCGCTGCGGGGGTGCGCCGCGGCCCGGGGTGCGGCGGGATGCGCCGGGCCTCACCTGCTCCGCCGCGGCGCGGGCGGCCGCTGCCCCATTGGCCGCGCGTGGGGGCGGCGCTTGGGGGGGGCGGGGCTCCGGTGCCGACCCCCGTGCGCCGGAATCGGGGGCTGCGGTGTGGACGGGGCTGCGGGTGGACGGAGTGTGGACAGGGCAGCAGTGTACGAGCCTCGGTGTGGACGGGTCACGGTGTGGACGGGACCGCACTGTGGATGGGGCTGCAGTGTGGACGGAGCTGCAGTGTGGACGGGCCTTAGGAGTGGAGTGGCAGTGGTATGGATGGGGCTACAGCGTGGATGGAGCTGCGGTGTGGAGGGGGACACAGTGTGGACGGGGCTGCAGTATGAATGGGCTATGGTGTGGACAGGCTGTGGAGTGCACGGGGCTGCACTGTGGATGGGCTGCAGGGTGGATGGGGTCACAGTGTGGACAGGCCTCTGGACTGGTTGGGCCATGGAGTGGACGGGCCGCGGTGTGGACAGGCCATGGAGTGGGTGGGTCGCAGTGTGGACAGGCCGCAGTGTGGACAGACCATGGAGTGGACAGGGCCTCAGTGTGGATGGTCCATGGCGTGGATAGGCCTCGGGACTGGGCCATGGAGTGGATAGGTCATGGTATGGACAGGGCTCTGGACTGGTTGTGCCGTGGAGTGGATGGCCTGCTGTGTGGACGGGCAGCAGTGTGGATGGCTGCTGGAGTGGATCACCCGCGGTGTGGACAGACCCACAACACATTACTTGGGCTTTCGCAGTGTCCATGTGGGGGCAGGAAGACTGCCTGAGACCTTTGGGCCGTGCGCTGTGCTGCTGTGGTCTCCCAGTCCCGGGTGTCACGACATGAGAGGCTGGAGCTCGGGTTTCTGGTCATCCCCATCGTAGACACGGACGCTGAGCGTGCACCTGGCACTTTGTCAGGCGGCATGGGGGAGAATCTTGCTGGAGGTGTGGCTCTTTGGATGCCCGGGCTAGCCACACTGCACTGAGGGAGGCGTCTCCACACGGTGTGCTTCCTTTTCTCGTGGTGTGAGGCACAGGGCACTTGTCGGGCTCAGAGATTGGGCCTGGTCCTCTGTGTGCTCAGAGTGGCAGGAGTGGGTGGGAGTGGGTGGCCCCATGTTTGGTAACAAGGAAGGGAAAGTAAGGTCATTGACACTGTCAAGGCTTTATGCAACTATTTTTAAATTTTATTTATTTCAAGAGATTTTTTTATCTGCTGGTTCACTCCCCCAAATGGCTGCAACAACCAGGGCCGACCCAGACAGAACTGGGAGCAAGGAGCTTCTGGGTCCCCTCACGTGGGTCCGTGGTAGGAGGTGGTTAGAGTCTGGATCATGGCAGGGAGTGCGATGGAGCTGGGGTGTGCCTCTGTCAGGAGTGAGTAGGCTGAACCTGCAGGGCTTAGAGTGCAAGTCCTAGGAGGGGGAGGGCCTTAAACACCACCAGCCAGCAGCTCAAACCAGTGTGAGAATAAGGTGTGGGAGCTGGCCAAGCCCTCCCTGTGGTGAGCCCCCCTGTGCAGGGGTGAGGACATAGAACAGGTGAGGCTCCTGTGCAGGGGTGAGGACATAGAACAGGTGAGGCTCCTGTGCAGGGGTGAGGACATAGAACAGGTGAGGCCCCTGTGTGTGCAGGGGTGAGGACATAGAACAGGTGAGGCCCCTGTGTGTGTAGGGGTGAGGACATAGAACAGGTGAGGCCCCTGTGTGTGTAGGGGTGAGGACATAGAACAGGTGAGGCCCCTGTGTGTGCAGGGGTGAGGACATAGAACAGGTGAGCCCCCCTGTGCAGGGGTGAGGACATAGAACAGGTGAGCCCCCCTGTGCAGGGGTGAGGACATAGAACAGGTGAGGCTCCTGTGTAGGGGTGAGGACATAGAACAGGTGAGGCTCCTGCGTGTGCAGGGGTGAGGACATAGGATAGGTGAGGCTCCTGTGCAGGGGTGAGGACATAGGATAGGTGAGGCTCCTGTGTGTGCAGGGGTGAGGACATAGGATAGGTGAGGCTCCTGTGTGTGCAGGGGTGAGGACATAGGATAGGTGAGGCCCCTGTGTGTGCAGGGGTGAGGACATAGAACAGGTGAGGCCCCTGTGCAGGGGTGAGGACATAGGATAGGTGAGGCTCCTGTGCAGGGGTGAGGACATAGGATAGGTGAGCCCCCCTGTGCAGGGGTGAGGACATAGAACAGGTGAGGCTCCTGTGCAGGGGTGAGGACATAGAACAGGTGAGGCCCCTGTGTGTGCAGGGGTGAGGACATAGAACAGGTGAGGCCCCTGTGTGTGCAGGGGTGAGGACATAGGATAGGTGAGGCCCCTGTGCAGGGGTGAGGACATAGGATAGGTGAGGCCCCTGTGTGTGCAGGGGTGAGGACATAGGATAGGTGAGGCTCCTGTGTGTGTAGGGGTGAGGACATAGGATAGGTGAGGCTCCTGTGTGTAGGGGTGAGGACATAGAACAGGTGAGGCTCCTGCATGCAGTGCTGGGATTTGAACAGGTGACATTGCCGTACAATGCGTGCTATAGTCTGGCTGTGCCCCAGGAGCTTGGCCATGTGTCGGATGTACCCTTGGTCACACTGTTTTCTCTGGGCTCGGATTTCTGGACTTTGCTCCTACAGGAGGCCGGGATGCAACCAACATGACCGTGTCCTTCTGCTGTAGTCTGCCCCCAGTCGGGCGGTTGGGTAAAGGTCCTGGCACCTGTCAGAGGTGAAGAGGGCAGGGTGGCTGCAGCTAATTATTCAGTAATAGTGATGGAGATGCTGACCGCTGCTCACGGGAGCTGGTGGGGAGGCTTGACTGGGCTACCTGGTCGCTGACGTGTCCTGAGGAGCATTGGCGACTTGTGTGGAGGGTCCCTGGCTGGCCTGTTGACCTGTGAATGTAAGGGTTAGCTTGCCTGTCTCCTCGCGCTGCCTGGCTGTGAGCAGGCTGTGCATTCTGCAGTATGCACGGGTATCGCATGGTCTTTAGAAATAAAATTGTAAACTCTAAAGACATGCTGGCTTGGCAGAAAATTATAAATAATATAAAAGTAAAAATTGGGCCCAGTGTGGTAGGCTAGTGGCTAAAGTCCTCACCTTGCATGTGCCAGAATCCCATATGGGCACTGGTTTGTATCCCGGTTACTCCTCTTCCCTTCAGCCCCCTGCCTGTGTCTGGGAAAGCAGTTGAGGATAGCCCAAAGCCTTGGGACCCTGCATCCACATGGTAGACCCAGAAGAAGCTCCTGGTTCTTGGCTTCAGATTGGCTCAACTCCAGCCCTTGTAGCCATTTGAGGAGTTAACCAGCAGATGGAAGATTTTCTGTTTCTCCTCCTCTCTGTGTATCTGTCTTTCCAATAAAAAGAAATTAATCTTTAAAAAAAAAAAGAAAAATGTTCTGCTTTTTTATTTTTTGTTTATTTTTTGAAAGATTTATTTATTTATTGGAAAGTCAGATATACAGAGAGGAGGAGAGACAGAGAGGAAGATCTTCCGTCCGATGATTCACTCCCAAGTGAGCGCAACTGCCAATTCTATCCCGATCTGAAGCCAGGATCCAGGAACTTCTTCCAGGTCGCCCAAGTGGATGCAGGGTCCCAAAGCTTTGGGCCATTCTCGACTGCTTTCCCAGGACACAAGCAGGGAGCTGGATGGGAAGTGGAGCTGCCGGGATTAAAACCAGCGCCCATATGTGATCCCAGAGCGTTCAAGGCGAGGACTTCAGCTGCTAGGCCACGCTGCTGGGCCCTATTTTTTGTTTTTGAAAGGCGAGGAGGGGAAGGAGGAGGAAGATTTTCCATCCACTGGTTCACTCCCCAGATGGCTGCTCCTGGGCCTTGGCTGAGTTGGGGCTGTATCCAGGGCTCCCTGTGGGAGGTGGAGCAGTGTAGCTGGCTGTGTGTCCCGCAGCAGCCTGTTTTCAGTTCTGCGTCTGGTTTCCTAGAGAGAAAAGTGCTTGAGGACCCTGGGTTGTAAGCGTCTGTTCTCCCGAGGACCGATCTATACACTTTGAACCAAGCAGTTTGTGTTTCTCAGGATGTTGCTCTCATTGGCACATGCAAACCCAGCAAAGGGGTTCTGGCAGCTGGCTCACTCCCCAGCGATCCCAGCCCTGATGCCAACCGGGTCAGCCCATCTCCTCGATGTGGCCGCGGCCACTGCGACCATCCACCCACATTGGTGGCTTTTGGGGCTTACTCTGTGGTGAAGTTTGTGATTTATTTCTAATGTATGTTGTGGATGCTTGGTGATTTTCTCAACATTGTTCATTCTTATGGATTGTTTGTAACTTTAAATTATTTTTTTAGGTTCTTTTAAGACTTCTATGTGGTTTGAAAAGAGAACAAGATGGCTTTTGTCACTGGCTCACTCCCCTGCCACTTGCCACTTGTGGGGGCTGCGAGCCAGGGCTGAGAACTAGGCCAGTCCAGGTGTGACAGAGCAGACCTTCATCTGCTGCTTCATTCCCCAAGTTCCACCATGATCAGAGCTAAGCTGATTCGAGGCCAGGACTTTCTTTGGGTCTTCCACAAGGATACAGGGACCTAGGGACTTGGACCATCTTCTGCTGCCTTCCCAGGTGCGTTAGCAGGGAACTCAATTAGAAATGCAGCTAAGGGGCCCGGCGCGGTGGCGCAAGTGGTTAAAGGTCCTCGCCTTGCACGCCCGGGATCCCATATGGGCGCCGGTTCTAATCCCGGCAGCCCCGCTTCCCTTCCAGCTCCCTGCCTGTGGCCTGGGAAAGCAGTCGAGGACGGCCCAGGGCTTTGGGACCCTGCACCCACGTGGGAGACCTGGAAAAGGCTCCTGGCTTCGGATCGGCATAGTATCGGCCCGTTGCGCTCACTTGGGGAGTGAATCATCGGACGGAAGATCTTGCTCTCTGTCTCTCCTCTCTGTATATCCGCCTTTCCAATGAAAAAAT